TAGTAATTTATTGATATGCCGCACAATGTCCTCCTTTTTGGTGCTATAGAAATGGCCACCCTAAACAATAACAGTTAGCAGAAAGAATTATAATAAATAGATAACCTTATTGTTTTAAGGTTATCCAATACAGCCGCACTCTGCAAGTTATAATCCAAGTCTGAATGTAATTTGAGATGCATTAAAAGACTTTTCATCTCAATATACTGTAAGGAAGTATTACATTCATTGCTGAATGTGTCACTGTCCCAGAGAGCTGCTTTACGGCAGTCTGACCTCCCCTTAAGTATGTGAGCTAACTAAGCTAAAACTTGTTGTTGGGTATCAAAAAAGATGTCACACTTACCTAACCAGATATTTTGCAAGTCTTTGGTCTAAAGTAGTCTGCTTTCAGATTCCAAAAAACTGTTTGATAGATCAGCGAGGTGTTGCCAGTTGCCTTCAGTGGCGCTAAAGTTTAAATTCACTGTACTGGTGCCTGTAGGGGCCAACGTTTCTTTTGGTGCATTTAATTATATGCCTATTGCACATTTATTTGTTTCTGTATTTATTTTTTGATTATGTCAGATTTGGTCCTCCTTATTTTATCCAGGTAGGAAGCGTAGGAAGAGTTTCCTGTCTAGTGTTTGTTTTACAGTACTTAGATTTGTACTCTTGTTACTGTTTTTTTTTCTTCTTTTTTTTAACAATTGGTTCCACTATAAGCCTCTACTTTTTCGTCCAGCTTTGAACCATGCGGCATATTAGATGGTGCAGCTTTTCTGTTGAGTTTTTGTTACTGCCAGGGGACCAAAGTCAAAGTTGAAAACCAAAGACGAAGAAAAATTTATTAATTTAAAAAAAGGAAATTAATGAAGAAGGTGTAAATCTTCTCTTAGCCCATGATAGAGCAAACACAATGTAGAAAAAATGTCAGCAATTTTACATTTATTCGCTGAATTAAAGCTGTAAAAGCAACAAAGAGACGGTGTGTAACTCCTGCAGAGATGAAATGCGATAACTAAGCTCCATCTTTCAATTGAAGCTCTGATGAGTAAGCCAACTCGTTAACGGGAACTAGCATTCTTTTTATGTCCCTACTTTACGAGTGATACTTGGAGCTCCCCCTACAGGTTTAGTTGGGGACAGTTCAGTAGATATCAGCAGCTCCTAGCATGGTGTGGTTTACTTATGTATGTTTCCAAAAACAAAACAAAAAAACTTAGTGGATGTGGCTTATATTGAAGTGCTCTCTATAGTGTGGAAAATACTGTAAATGTTTAATCATATGCAATGGAAATATATATTAGACATATTCCCCATTATATGGACACAACAACAACAGTAAAGCTAAATTATAACAAAATAGAAGGGAATTAAATCATGATCTTTGTTTGTTTATATTAATATGACAGCTTTTGATACAATCAGTATACTCATACCTTTCAAATTGAAAAAGTCAAATAGCCACAATCTCTAGTGAAAGTTTAGTGCAAGGTTATCATTTGACTTGAGGCAGATGCACATGTGGGATGTTTTTAGTGTTGTAATACAGTATAACGTCCTTTCCCAAATTCGCAGGAGATTAAACAAGCCAAGTAAAAGGTAGAAAGAATCTTTTGAAATAGTGAGGGCTTTCTTCTTAACTCCGTCTTTGGAAATTGTCTCTAAAGAGGGGATTAAGCCCTCAGTGACTTCTGCCCTTGTCACTTCTTTTTGTAAAGGCTTTCTGTCATTAGCACTGGAGTTTCAACGCCAAGAACTCATGTAGGCTGTCACAATGAACTGCACCCTAGTGAAATGAAACTAAAACTCTTTAATACTACTATTGGCCAACATTTAGTATGTTATAATTTTACTGTTTTTTGTGAAACATGATTATTTTACAAACAGGTTTCACAGCTTTGATTTCATACCCTTTAAATGATGGTCACCTCCCAAAGGGAATCACTGAAATCAAAGTTGTTTTTTGAAAATTAAATTATATTATTTGTCATTTTCATTATGGAAGTTATGATAGAAAAAAAATCTTAATTAAATTTGGTAGGAAGAAATCTAAGACTGTTTATTAGTAATGAAATGAGCTCACCTGAGACTCATAAACAAATGTCCTGACGTTCGGAAATTATTATCACTAAATGGCGAGAGAAAAGAAGGATGACTTCATCCATAGCTAAAAACATAAAATGACTAACGTCAGTAAGCCAGTTGAATGACCGGCAGCAAGTAGCATGTTGATCACTCAAGAGCTGACTCAGCAAGGGAACATGCAGATTCATCCTATTTTTACATTAGATATCTCTTTCCTTCTTCTTCTTTTAAACTAGCACACTGAGGAAAAGTCCATTTGTACCAATTGGGTATTAAGAGTTTGTCTTCTAATCAGTCTTGTTAAACATAGTTACTAATTGTCAGTTCTTTTCTCACATAAGAATGTGGTCTTAAATCTTAATTCATCTTTATAACATCCCTCACCTTCATCAGTACTTAGGGAGGATGATATTTTATGCTTTGATACACTGATGATTAAACACATCACATACTGTTAGACGCAGTACTCCACTGTAGTGTTTTTGTATTAGTTTTGAGTCTGTCAGTAATTTGCAACTGCTAATATTTTTGATTGCCACTATTTCAGTGGTAACAATGGTGTTTATGTATTCCATGAAGACACCTCACCATGTTAGAAATCTCCATTCCACATTACCAAATTGTTGCTTGAATGCATCTTTTAGAACTCTCATGACATTATTTCCTTCCTGCTCCATGGTTAAATGTGAATTCACAGCACTGCCAGAGGTGATTTTTTCTCTCTAACTACCCCCAGCCCCACAGTCTGTGACTAAATCTCACCATCTGTCTTTCTATGTTAGTGTTTTACCATCTACAACCACCTGTGGTGGCAAAATTTGTCTGCAAGGTGTCATTTCCTCTTCTTTAACAAACCTCTCCTGTACTATATACCTAACTCATTTCCTACCTTTTATACTTGTGAGGAAAGTTAGTGGACAACCAGTACTCATATTTCCAAATAAGAGTAAATTCAAGACTTGAATAATCTCTTGCATCTTTCTGTTTCTCTTATTGCTTGTTATTGTTCCAGCAACCTGTGGGGGTAATGTCAGCGGTCCCTCAGGTGTGATTCTTTCTCCGAACTACCCACAACCGTACCCCCCTGGAAAAGAGTGCGATTGGAGAATCACAGTCAATCCTGACTTTGTCATTGCCCTTATCTTCAAAAGGTAGGCCATTAACTCACAGAAATGTTGGTTTCCTGCTGTTATTTTGGTCCTCTTTGCTATATCTTGGTGGCTCACCCACTTTGCATGTGTCTTTTTAGAGGGATCCCTTATAAAATATATCTACAGTCTAATTAAATTAGACCATGTTGTTTTGACAATATGCATTAAGGCAAGTAAACATTTTGACAAAAAATACGTTATGTAAAAGCTTATTTTTTTTCAGCCCAGTATATTAAATGTAAACATTTATAAGGTCCTGTTTAATGTTTTTTATGCCTTTAAATTTCACCTATAAGCATATATATGATCAAATATTCCCTGTAGTACTACAGGGGTATATATTTGTTATAGAATAAAGTTGTTTTATTCCATTTTTTTTGTCGTATCACCCCATTTCTGAAGGCTGAACAAAGTCACTAACAAAAGAGCAGTTGTTGCCCTGGGAAGATTTGCTGCCAAATGAGTCACTTCCCTGACCTTACTGGAGAAGCGAGAATTTGTTTACAGTGCGGGAACAGTGAGCTTAATAGTCAAATTTAACGGATTTGTGCATTTTCGTAAACAAAAGATATTCCCCTTATGCATAACAGCAACCTAGCCGCCGCCAACAACCGACACGAAACGTGCCACATACATACACACTTAATTTCTATTCAAACCCTGGTCGCAATCTTCACTCACTGTAGCAGCAACGTCCACCTATTTTGGGAAGTTTTTTTTTTTTTTTTTTCGTTCTTCCAGCAGCTCTTTCCTTTTTCTCTACTGGAATCCGCTTAAGTACCTCATTGTACGTTACAGTTATGTTTGTAATCAACGCTCTGGATTACCCATAATTCCAAGTCGTATTGTAAAATATAAAATACTCAAATACATCATTCCTTTAAGATCTTTAGTTTCATGAAAATAAAAAGGGAAGCTGCTGTTCTCATAGCGCCTGGTAGGTCATTCCACTAGCTTGGAACCGCACAGGAAAACAGTCTGGATTGCCTTAACCATGGTGTACGTAGGCCCTGTAAGTCAACAATCCATTGCTCACCAGAGTGTGTCTGAGACTGTGACATAGGCCTTTGCTAGAGGGTTCAAGTAGACGGAAGCCGTACCCTAAAGCACTTTGAAGGCAAGCATCAGGGACTTGAATTTGATGCAGGCAGCCAGAATAACCAGTGAAGCTAAAAGAACAAAAGGGCTGACGTAAGACTTTTTTGGCTGATTGAAGACCAGATGTGCGGCCGCGTTTTGCTTGTGTGTTTGGGTTACACACAAACTTTCTGAAGCTGAGACCTCTTGTTGGTTTTATAGGAGTATAATTTTCTATTATAAAAAATCATCTTGTTTTGTTTTTTTTTAATAATAATTATAAATCTAAATATACCAATGGTAGGAACATTTTGTCTTAACTATACTACCTTATACATTCTTTGGTAAAAAAGAGTCAAAACCACTTTTACTCAAAAATGTATACATGTCCTTTTTTGTCCTTTAAGGAATATATTGTCCACATATTAATTAACTGAATAAAACAGTTAATTTAAAAGAAGGAATGACTACCTTACTTCATCTTTCTGTAAACCATTTTAATGAGTACTGTTTATAATTTCCCAGTCAGAGGATAAAACATAAACATTAAAATGCATATCTTTAAAACTTCTAAAAATAATGAAAAAAATGTAATATTGCAGCACTGCCTTAGCATTGTGTTGTCTTTTTAATCAATTTCTGTGTTTTAAGTAAAATTTTTTCATGACTATTTGTGGCCCTCACAGAATCCAGAAAGATATGTCTCCTGAGAAATCAAGCTCAGTTTATGTGAAATAACATTCAGCATAAGATCATTAAGGTAACTAATATCCAAGTCTTTGAGAGGTTTTCTTCTCTCCTCTGGGACCACTGTTAAAAGGCTTTACGTTTGCTGTAAAAGCTCCTTTGAAATTCTCTTTCTTAAGTTACCATGGCAGTGTCAGAACAAGGTTTTAGTCCTTTAGGTTCAAAAATATCTGCACTCTGAGAGAAGGATAAAGCTAAACATGTAATAATTGAGATTTTGATGAGATATAGGGAAAAAAGCAAAGTTTCAGGAAACACCAAAGCTATCAGTTAGACCTGTCAACCACTAAAACTAATTTCCCTGTGCTAGTTTCATGATAGTTTTTATTTCTCTTTAGTTTAATATAAGGTGAATGTTGAGATGATATCAATGTCAAAATTAAAATTTCCCATGAGGAAGAAGCCTTAAAAAATGCTTGGAAAATTGGGACAAAACTATAAACTAGAAATGCACTTGGAGGGTGCAGACCTGTGGCAACTAGTTCATTTCCCCTGTCATATTGTGATCTGGATCATTGCCGACATTTAATAATTTGTTGCTAGTTGCAATACACAGCTCCTCTGAAAATGTAGACAAAATCTTTCAATAGTTTTATAAGTTATTTTGAAAAAGAAAAGCAAACAGACAAACCAACGCTGTTGAAAACATTATCTCCTTGGCTGATCTTTGTCGTACAGCCGTAGAGTATTATAACTATTGGGTTATACTTCTTTTTTCTCTGCAACTCATGCATTGATACAATTCAATATCTGATCATTTCAATGTTTTGTTTATTCTTAATAGTGTATAATTTTTTTTTTACATTTTCAGTGCTAATTAGAGCACAGTGGTGAATATTTAGAGTCCCAGTTTACCCAAGTGAAACTGGATTGAAACAAATCAGCAAATACTGAAGAGGACTTTCTGCAGATTGCCTAAAGAGACAAATGACCCAATTTTGACTTATGATTTGGTGTTTGCAAGTTAAATCACTGTTTTTAAGATGCTAAGACACTTTTATTTTAAATGTTTGCTTTTTTCTGTTATATAACACTTCAACAGCTACTAGTTTATGTTTGCTTTTTAATGAATTTCAGATACTAAGCAAAAAAATACATTTTGACCTAGTTACTGATGAGTCACCCACAAAACAGGCCTAAATTGGAGGCAACCAGACTTGGACTCAGATATTATGAAGACATTTCAACACCTATCGAGCAGTCGTGCAAGCTGACAGATTTGACAAAGACTCTTCAATAGGTACCTAAAGCCTTTTTTTGTGGTCCAATAACTTAGAGCTTACTACTAGCTTAATATTCAATGTTTTTTTGTTCCTAATTTTACAAAGTAAAAATGCTCTGTGGCCTTTTTCCAATGATTAAATATGTTGTCCTATGTTTTCTTGTTTGTGAATCTGTGGGTGTGTGCATGTCTTGTTCAATACAAACAATATGTTTAAAAGAATGAGTAAAGCTCATAATTATTATAATCTCTAACACAGAGTTTGGAACACTGCACAAACTGTCCAAATAAAAGCATAAATATTTTTTAGCTTATTTTTTGTTATTCTACAATGGGTGAGGAAAACATTGCATCAGCCCAGAGAATTACCACTTGCCTTTTCTTTATGGGTTTAAACATTTACTCCATATTCTTAAAAATAATTAAAAAGTTAACTTTTTGGTATTCATTGAACATCTGTTTTGGAGCACTGTTTATAAACAGTATTGCATGAATAAGCCAACCAACATCTGGCATCTGTGAAAAACTATTCAGAGAACCAATTTGGACTACTTCCATAGTTCCTTCACATTTTTTTTCCCTCTATGCAGCATGTTTCATGTCACCCCTCAAGTTTACTTGTTGGTCTGTAACCAACTTGCTGCTAACCTTCAGATGTGTCAATTTCAATGCCGTTTCCCCTTTAGTATCAGATGACATGAACTTCTGAGATATTTTTATATAAATCAACTAACAATGATCAATGGTCTGCAAAAGATGTGCTTGACTATAAGAAAGATAACCATTGAATGATGCCTGAGCGTCATAGCTTTGCAGTGTGATGTGGCTTCAATTCAATGTTTGGGCATTTCCTGAAAAAAATCTTTCTAACTCATCAACCCAAAAGCAGCCTCTAGTCTTTCAAGAAATGTAATGCTTTTTCTCCTGTAGGCCAGTTAACTTTATCTTTGACAGATTACAGCAGTCCATGCCATTTTGTCTTCAAATTGTCATGATACTTGCATTGTAGACCTTCTTTGGTCATCATAGCTAAATTTTCTACAAGATTTGTCCCCATTTCATTAGAGATCATCTGGTTTTGGTTTCTATTTTAAAGCCTCGTAGATAGTTTTATTTACCATATATTTATGGTCTCACCTTTTGATTTTTTATGAAATAATGATGTTCTGCTAAGCATATCTGAGATTACTTATTTTAACTCAGAAAAATTGAAATATAGCCATCATATAAAATATTTTTTTACCTTTATACTCAAATAGGAGCTACCTGTTATTAAGTTTCTTTAAAAGTCGTTTAGAACAAATAATCTTGATGGTTTCTCTCATTTTGAGCTTAGCCCTTTTAATAAATCATTTATATAGCTACAGTAAACTAGATGAATTAATGTTATGACTGTGGCCATAATTTTTTTGCATTATGGTACTCTAGTAGATATTATTGTATATGATCTCTACCAAAAATAGGGATTGAGCCAGTGGGTTTTACGGGCCGGTATTATCTAACACATTTTTTATTTTTTAATGAGCATACTTATGTTGTTAATTGTTACGGTTTCTGTGAGTTTACAACTTCAAGTTTCAAATTCCACTGATACATCTCCCTCTTTTCTTTTACAAAAGCCACACAAGCATAATTGCATAAGAAGGAAAATATTAGGGATGCACGTTATAATCGTCCCCCTATCTGTATCGGCCTGTATCGGCCTTAAAACTGAATATCGGACATCGGCCACCCCACGATATTTAACCCGATATTTGATCAGCTTCTGAGTTTCTAAAGTCTAAAAAAAAATATATATACTACTTCTTCTTCTTCATCAAAAACGTCTTTTTTTACAGACTTAAAAACTTCTAAAGACGAGGGAAAAAATATTAAAACATTAAAATATCATAATATCTTCATATGCTGATATATTGACATTTAAAATCACCATATCAATCTCTTTTACTAATGAAATTATTATGCTA